CTCCCCGAACGTTCCTGGACTTCACCCCCTGCCCCAAGCACGCTAAAAACACTGACAAGAAAAAGTTTTTATTTCCCGGTTCAACTTTTTTTTCCCCTGGAATATAAACTGAAGAATGGGAATAAACACGGATAAATAACAAAGCGAGGCCGCGCGCGCCGGGATGCGCCTGGCTGCAGCCCGCAGGGCTATTGTCTGCCCGCCCTGAAGCCGGCCCGCAGGCTTCCCCGGTCCTTCCCTTCCCTGGTCCCCTTTGCTTTTCCTTTTGAAAAAGACGCCCCCCTCCAGCCCCCTCGCCGGTGACCTTGGCCGCCTCGGATGCTCTGATTCCGCGCGTCTCCCTCCAACTTGCTCCCGCGCCGCCGGGCCCATGGCCGCATCCGAGGACGGGAGCGGATGCCTTGTGGCGCGGGGACGCTCGCAGAGTGACCCCAGCGTCCTCACCGACTCCTCGGCCACCTCCACGGACGCCGGGGAGAACCCAGGTACCAGGCCGGGCGGGGGCAGCCAGGTGGGTGGGGGAGACGCGAGGCGGGCGGTGTGGGGACCCAGCCTCCCCTCCGTGGGCTCAGCTCCCCCGCCTGCGGTGGGGGAATCACGGCCCACCAGGGCGCGGGGGCCCGAGATCCCCGTCCCCGTCGCGCAGGGCTGGGGCGCGCGGAGCTCTTTGTCCGGAAAGGAGCCGCTTTCCTGGGTAGAGCCTGGGCTTTGCAGTGTGCCCTGCTCGCTGGCTGCTGGGCATCGCGTCCCCTCAGAGGGGCTTGCTACCCTGGGTTGCACTGACCCCCGGGAGGGAGAGTCCACCCGGGCCACCTCCGCCCAGGGTCGGTGACCGACTCTGCTCTTCCTCCCAGGCCCTCCTGCGGTCCCCACCCCGCCAGCCCAGGCAGAGTTGTGCTCCCGCGGCCCCTGCGCCCAGGGCTGTCACCAGGCACTGGGATTCCGATAGGGCCTGGCACACCTGGGCGCGCCCGCCTGCCTCCCTGGATAGGTGTGCTGGTCAGAGCTGCCGCGGGGAGATGGAGGGTGTGCGCCTGGTGGAGCCCTGTTCTTTCACTCTGTGGACTTGTCGGCTCCTCCACCCGCAGGGCAGCTAGGATTGTGTCGGTGATAAACAGGTCACAGAAGCATCTATATGGTTTAATTGATTACTTTCCAGGGACGAAAGAAAGGCCTAATGAAGCAGGAGGGGGTGGGCTGTGTGCGCCCTGTCGCCATGGCGACGCAGGAAGCAAAGTGATCATTAAAACCTTTCTCCACCAGAAGGCAATTTTCACTTCTCGGGGAGAAGTCAGGCATCTGAAACGGATCATAAAAAAAAAAAAAAAAGAAAGAAAGAAAGAAAAAGAATCAAAACTAGTGCTGTGGTGTCACACAGGGGGGCTCAGTTCTGTCTTCCTGGAGCCCTGTCCTAGCTGCTGTTTGGTAACAGCTCACCTTACTTTCCTTTGCAGACTTATTCTAAATGCTAGGACCTTCCAGTGCAGACTTGACGGTGTTAAATGGTGGCATCAAAGTAGAGGCAATTCCAGGGGTCAGGAATGGTGGCTTTGTGGCAAGGGAACCCTCCAGTTCCCAGAGCACATGAGAGCTGTGTGAACTGCCCAGAACCCCCCCCCTTTTTTTTTAAAGCAGCTCTCTAGGTACCAGGGTATCACTGGATATTTTAAACAATAAATCCATCCAAGTCTTGTAAGATGTTTTTGTTAGGACTGTTGATACAGTGTTACCTGGTCACATCAAGGTGCTAGCCCAGGGGATCCTACATCTGGAAAGGCAACTTAATTTCCCCAGAGTATCCAGAATAGGCTGCTGTAAATTGACCCTTAAGGCACTAATGAACCCTCCTTTTAGTAATTCGGGGTGAAGTGCGCCATGATGGGTTTGGTTTTCTACATCTCAAAGATGCAGATGGTCCCCAGTATGGAATTTGAATGGTCCTTCACCAGATAACCGTTCTCCCACTCCTTTGTCTCCCTGGCAGTAAAAAGAGGCAAACTTGAAATGGAAATCATGGAGGACTTAGCTTTTTGGCTGTCTGTGAGTTAGTGCGTGCATGGGTGGCAGCGGAGGTTTGGCAGGTAGCTGCTGCCAGTCCACGAGGAGGAAAGAGGAGGAAGAGGAGGGCTTGGATGCCCGGGATGAAGTTATGCCACGGAGGGGCTCATGCTGGAGTTCTTGTCAGGTTCGAATGATCAAAGCAAGGCCAAGTGAACAGTTATGGAAAAGATGTGTGTGGCCAAAGCTGGTAATTGGATATCTGTGGATCATGTTCTGGTCTGAAAGAGTCAGAATCTTTAAGTTGGAAGAGACCCAGGAGCATGAAGCAGGTAGGATCCAGAGGAATGAGTTTGCATAGCCCTGTGGGTGGGAGACTCACTCCTTCATAATGTACTGCACTTTTCTGGGACACATCTGTCTTGTTTTCAAATTTATTTTTCAGTGGCTTGAGAGTCTGCTGTCTATCCACCGTGGTATGCTCATTCAGACTCTGTGTGACCCGGTCGGGGTTTCCAGAAAGTGTTCTTGTCAGTTACTGCGCAGCCCAAGCCCTTTCTTCAGCAGACGGAAAGGTCCCAGCCCCCCATCTGGTCCTCTCTTTAAAGCCTCCCCCCTTTACCCACCTGCTGTTCTAAATGGAGACTCCTGAACACTGAACCCAGCCCCCTGGCTGTGCAGCAAGTAGATGGAAAGCATTGGGAAGAGTTACTTCCTTCTGTCTAAATTCTCTATTTTCATGAAACAGCTCTAGGTTGTGTTTGCCCTCCTCCAGGGTGTTTTGAATGCATCACTATTCTTAGTCAGAACTCCAGACGTTCCTGAGAAAGTAAACTTGGGCTGCTTTGGTGCCCGCCTCCTTCAGTTTTACCCTGCTGTAAATATGGTGTTGCTACTCTGACCTTTCCTCCGTTTGTCTGTCCATGTGGGTGGAAAACAGCCAGTGGGATGCACTGTGTGGATGTGGGGGGACGTCTTCAGCACGTTGTTCTACCTGAGTTGGCCTTGGAGAGCTTACCGCACTGCTGTACCCATCTCTGGGGAAATATTAATGAACATCTACCCCAGGGCTCTTTATTGAGCAGCAAACCAAACTAAGTCCCCGAAGTCCAGCTCAAGGAACCAATGAGTTTTTGCACCCACTTACAGAGTTAGGGTGAAGGGCCAAAGCATCCACGCCACCAGGGTTGCTGCCTCATGGCTTCCCCCAGCTAGCCACCACTTCCTGAGATCACAAGGCCATGTGCAGTTAGGGCAGACTCACAACTGATCCAGGAGTGAAGGAAGGAGGGACTGGAATCTCGGGGGGCGGGGGGAGTTCAATAGCCCTCCCACCCATCCTGTAAAGGAACCTCAGTAGTCAACAAGCCTGATCTTGGGGTCTCTTACAAGTAGGCCGTCTGCTCTGATGATGATGGCTGTTATGCTCAGAGTACCCAGTTCTACTGCAGCTTCCTTTTAGGAATCACGCAGTGGTATTGTAGGGAATGTATTTTTCTGGCTCTGCTATAAGGATTTGTGTTGTGTCCAATGTTTTCCCATCATACGGAACACAGCAGTGATAGCCCGCGCACAGGCTGCCTTGTGCTCGTATGAGAACATCTTCCAGGGTAGATGGCAGCTCAGGGGATGTCTGGGCCACAGGGGATCCACATTTGTCATCATAATGTTACTGCACCCTCCTGGGCAAGACACCAATTCATGCCCCTCCCAGGAGGAGTGGCGGTGCCCACTGTTCAAACCCTTGCCCACACCTGAGATCGTAAATCCATTCTTCCCTAGTGTGAAGGGTGACAAATGGACTCTTGTGTTACCTTGTGGTTCCTTGATTGCTAGCGAGCATATTTTTGTGGCTTCCTAGTGTATTGAATTTCTCGGCACCCGTCTGTGGCACGGACTGCACGCAGGGCAGAGGTGTCCCTCCTAGGTTGATCTCCTACTGTGCTGTCTTACCTTCAGTTGTGTTCAGCTGTACCTTTGTAGTGTTTCTCTCTGTAAATCCATCTCAGGGTTTGGTTTTCTTCCACAGTTAAACTCTGAAGTAGGTCAGGGAGCATCCCCATGTGCTTTCCTCCTCCTGAGGGGTTCGAAGTCTGAAGGACTTGACTTCCTCTCTCCCTCTGATCTAGGGCCATGGGGATTGGTCCTCTGCCCCTCTGCACCATGGACAGACCCTGCCAGTCAGGCAGGAGCCATGCCCCCTAGGTCCCAGGCTGCCTCCTTCCCCACCCATTCTTGATGTCTCCCTCCCCAGTCCACCTCTGTCTAGTGTCTTTTCTGCCTCCCACGGCATCCAGGCCCCCCATACTGCCTTCTTTCTTCCCTCTTTCCTCCGCTCCTTGGCCCCTGATGCCAGGACCACAGACTGGGCTATAGAACAGATACTTGTACAGTTTTAAAAACTGTTTCCAGAGGGTCAGAAGTACAGCCAGGCAGGACTCTGATTTGGTCCAGGGCTTCTCAGCACAGCACTTCTGCCTTCACTGGCCAGGGTCATCCTGTTTGGCAGGGCCATCCATCCTGTGCATGGTAGGATGTTGAGTGACCCCCTTGGCCTTTATCCCACCGATGACAGTGGTACCCCATCTACTAGTCATTACGAAGTGTCTTCTGGAGAGCTGTGGCTGTGGAGTGTTCACTGAAACCCCCATGCGTATCAGGGTCACTTGATGCTTGTTAACACAGACTATGGGTGTGGCCCCCAAGAGCTCCTGACTCAGGTCTGTGTGAGTCTCAATGTGTTTTTGAGAGGGTCCCAGGCCATGCTGCTGGTCACATCACCACACCTGGACAGCTATTGACTCTAGACCTTGGCTACACGCTCAGGCTGTCTCAGCTGATGACTCTTATGTGTAAAGTCCCTCTCTGACCTCCAAGCTCTAGGGCTTCCATGTCCACTTCAGCCAGTCCTGACCACCTCCTACCCTGGTCTCCCTGGCTCTAGGGCTCCTGTGCCCATTACAGTCAACCTTGACCATCCCTCCACCCAGTTTATACCATCTGTTCACCCACTCTCCTGTTTCATTCTCTGTGAACATAGGCCTAAGCAACTGGACTTTTTATGATGAGCATCTGTAGCAATAATGGACGCAAGTCCCAGCACCATTGGGTCAACCTATGTGGCTTGGGACAGGCCAGGAGGTAGTGAGCCTGGATGAGCTTGAGGCCGTGTGTCTTTCTGCAGGGACCAATCACCTTTGCCTTGCGGCTTAGCGAAGGAGTTGCATTTAAGTCTCTTGCCCTTCCAGAGCTGTGGACAGAGGTCAAGACACCCCTCCCAGAGTCTGGGTTACAGCGCCTCTTTGTCAGACTCCTGCAGCCCTAGAGGCATAAGTTCCAGCTGGCTGAGGCTACCTCCTCAGCACACCTTAATCACGGGACAGTGCGTCTTGACACCTTCTCCTGTAGCATTGTGTCCAGCCACCACCGGCCTCCTAAGCCCCCTGCCCTTATTCTGTATCCCCCACTTGGGGCCCAGCGTCCCCTT